CAAGCAATTTTTTTGAAGTAAATGTTGATATTCGTTACAAATATTTAAATAACTTGCGTATTGGTAAATTTTATGTTTGCTAATTATTTTGTTTCTTTTTACATTTTGTAAAATTTGATAAATGATTGACTTTTTAAATCTCAACTATTTCGTAACCGAGACTGGACAAAAAGGCTATTTTTATAGCATATTGGTAATATAGTATTTCGTTTGTTACAGAATTCGCACTTTTTTTTTATTTGAGCATTATGTCGTGTTGATGGCATTTTAGTTTGAGTTAAATATTTTTTCTTTATAGATCTAGGAGATATAGCGCCCTTTTATATATTCACAAAAAAGCATATGAATTCTAATACTTGTAAGATTAACCATTTGGACAAAAGACCTTTTGCAGTAAAGTGCAAGAATTTTGAAGACTCATTTTTTTGTTTCAAGAATTTACTTACGAAGATGAAATAATTAATAAGTACTTTTTCAAAAAGCTTACGTTACTTACCCACTTTGAAACGTGAAGTAGTACTTTGCAGACTTGAGGGCTTCATACAGTAGTTTAATAATATCAGTTGAATCCCAGTGAATCCCACAGCTTTTATATAACGATTTACCTTGCAAAGGTATATATAACTAAGTAATTTAAGAAATACTGAACTACAATTCCTAAACGTTGAGCAATAAAGACTAAAAAAAATAAAAGCAAAGATCTAGTAAAGGTAACGTAGGTTTAAGAGTTAATTTATATCTTTTTCTTATACATTTATAAAAAAAAACCTTTAAAAGCTTAAAAAACTTAATAATATAAACTATCTTTTTTTATTTTTATACAATTTTTAATACAGGGTAATTGTGAAAAACAATATAAAAAGTATCTAAGATAAGATTGTATAAAACTTTAAACTTTTATTAGAATAACCATTGTATGATTAGAGATCATGTAAGATATCCGGGTTCGAGATTATATATATGAAAGTCTTTATAAATTATATACACGAAAGTCTTTATAGATAATGATATTAGAAGTTAGTTCGTTATTAGTTAATAAATGAACAGAACAATAATATGCTTACTTATTTAGCGAAAAAATATATTGTATATATTTTGAAGTTAAATTCATATACTGTAGGTTTGATTTTATTTTGATTTTGCATTACATAAATATTGTGTAACATTGAACGATTCCCCCTGTTAGATAGAACTTGATAATCTTACATGATCAGGTGGAATGTCACACTATCACTTAAAAAAATGAAATATTTTGAGTGCACAAATTTTTATAATGTAAATATTCTAGACTGGCTAATTTCTCAAAAGAATTTTTCTGGAAACCACCATTCACCTCAAGATGCTATTAATGCCTTTAAAAAAACTATTTCATCCTTTTACAAGAGTGAACATGAGAAGAAAACATTTATAATCAGTAAATTACAGGTCTGCATTTTTTAAATTGTTTTTAATCGTTTCTAAATAGAAGATGATGAACTTTATCTTTAAGCAGTGACAAAGTACTAGATCATTGCGGCTCTACAAACTAAACCACCTTCTTTTGCCAACCGAACTGTCCTTTTTATATGGTCCAGAGTCTTACAACTCTACCAACCGAACTGTCTTTTTTGTACTTTACATTTAGATAGAGTATGGTCCAGAGTCTTACAGCTCTACCAACCAAATTGTCTTTTGTACAGTACTTTACCATTAGATAAAGTATGGTTCAGAGTCTTACAGCTCTACCAACCGAACTGTTTTTTTGTACCTCAGTTCTTTTACTTCATATATTATGGTTCAGAGCCTTACAGCTCTACCTACTGAATCTCCCTTTTGCACCTCAGCCTTTTTTACTTTATATAGTATATGGTCCTGAGTCTTACAGCTCAACCAATTAATAATTTCATCCTTAGAAGTCTGATTCTATTTTGTTTTTCTATTTTTTTCTAATGTATACTTTGTTTCAGTTACTAACAATTTACCTACTTTATATTTTAAGAGGGATGAAAAAGTAATTAAAGAAGATTGGGTAAACATTATATCAAATATAAATGGATATAGAACCTTCTTAGAAATAGAAAGAAAATATAAAATCAATCGTGAAAATCGGTGGTCTAAGATGGTTTTAGATAATATGGAAGTTAGTATAAACTTTTTTTTTTTTTTTTTGTTAAATTTTACTAATAATTTTCTCACTATACAGATGATCAAACCCAAATCAGAACAAAAATATTTGACTGAATTCATTAAACAACTTAAACAAATCTCACAAAATCCTGAACAATTCGAAATTTGTGACATTAAGTTGGACAGCATCAATGATCAATATTATCTAATTGTAGATAATAATGATCCTTATCCTCCAGAACCCCTTAATTTGCATGTTACTGAATGGATTAAAACTCATATTAATGATACAGAGTATGCTCAAATTGAAGACGAGTTATGGATTATTAAATTTATAAAAACCTTGTAAGTATATTTACTACTAATTGTCACATTTACGCATAAATTTTTGTATTAATGCTCCTGTAGCAAAAATATCCAAAAGAAATTCGTGGGTTTTAATATAGAAGACATGTCAGAAAAATCCTGGCATATAGAAGTTTTGTATCCGCTGTTCAGAGTTTTGGTTTCAGGATTAAAGTATCTAAAATTTAAGATGTATGTATATAATAATTTTATTTTTAAATAGAATGTATTTAGATGTTACGGTTCTTATTTATTTATTTATTTTTTATATAGGAACTTAATTGATATAGGGATGAATCTTTCACAAATTCTAGTCGAGAAGCCAGTAGAGACAGTAAAGGATCTTCAATTTCATCATCACCATGCTCAAATAATACACCTATTTCATCATCACCATGTTCAAATAATACTTCTATTTTATCATCACTATGTGCAA